GGGTTATACTTATTTTGTCTGCCGTTGTGAGATGTGATCTGCAAAAAGATAAGCAACAAGTTATTTCTTATTTTACTATTGTTTGTTCTCTGTCTGTCCTTTCATTTTCTACTCAGCATTATGTTTTATGAAATATATCCCACCTAACCTGTTGGTCTGCTGTGTTCATGTATACCTGATAGGCCTACACCTTTTCCAGAATGCCAACACTTGATACAGACGGTTAAAATGGTATCGTATTCCATTTGTCACACTTTGAACATGAATACAGTTGGCATTAACCGCACGATTCAACACATTTTGTTCTGTTAAATAAGTACTTTTTTTTATTATTGTTGTTGCTATGTATTCCATGTCTTAACGAATTTCTAATGTGTTATTATTTACAAATTGCTTTCGCTGATCAAAATAGCATTCTTTTCAAACCTTACATAGCGATCCATGCATCTTTGATCGCATGTCTATGGTCTATCAGTTTCCTAAATGCCTTTCAAACATTGCTAGTGTAATCATCCTTGACCTGCCTGTCTCATACTCATGTATCCTATCTTATGCACGCTTCACATTTTTCTTTCTTTATTGTTTCCAGTGAGTTATTAAATATTAAGTCTATGACACCTGTTTCCGATATAAAAATCAGTTGGGTTTTTGTTGTTGTTGTTGTTGGGTTCTTCTGTAGCGGTGGAAGGGGGTTACCCTCAGAAGGATTATTTGCTTTTGTCCCTTTCTAAAATCATCATTTTTGACTTTATTTATTTATTCACAATTATTCTACTGGGTTTTTTTAAGTCACCCAGAAGCGGGTCGTTTTCTCACGCCATAATTTAAAAAAATAAGACTGGAATTTTGATTCGCCTCAATGCAACTTTGTGTTTTTAAACTAGATCTAGATTCTAGGCTGCGAGAATAAAAATAAAAAGAAGCGAGCATTTTAATTTGATTGAAACTGATAACGTTTTTTATCACTTCCTTTTTGACTGAGAAAATGTTATGTCTACCTCCGGTTGTTTGCAGCAGTTAGAGCATTCAGTAACTAAACACGTGGTTACTTCAGCGACGGGGCAGTCATCAATGTCAGATCAGAGATTTCTCCAACAGTTCTCTGGTTCTGTTCAATAGCGCTCTGAGCGCACAGCGCTAAAACGAAACTTCAAAGTTAGGAATAAGAACTGTCGTGACAAATGAAATAGTGCGGCACGGTTGGAGGTGGCGTTCATTGCCTTCTGGTGTCATCACTACCGGAGAACGCAGTGTGAGGGGGAAGTCGTGTTTGCCTTTCCATTGAGGGGAAAAATCATTACCATGAGCCTCTCGCAGCGTACCTCCGGCTCGTGGCAGCTGTCTGGATTGGTTCAAGGATAAAGCCCCGCCTACGAGCAGGCTAATTTGACGTGATGCCCCGCCCCGTCCCCTCTGTCCGCCCGTTATGCCGAGATCGCGAGAGCCTCCAGCGAACGGCGTGCATCGGCGTTGAACCCAGGCTCTCTAACAGCGTTTGTTTACAAGTTGCCACATCACGCCGATAACCACAGCCTGATGAGGCTACTGGATACCTGCGTTTTGTTGTTGTTGTCGCTCCGGATGCCGCCGTGCATACAAATGAATCGGTGGGAGTCGCGAGACTAAACAGAGTCGTGTTCCTCTCTCTCTAATCGCTCTACATTCTTGTGTTCGCGTGGTGAGGAATCTCCTCTGATATTGCTACTGCTCGTGCGCGGGTGTGGTTGATGATTCAAGTCCAGCCAGTATTGTTTCATAGTGAGAGCTTCCCTGTACTGTACTGAGGATCAGGAAGTGTTGCTGCTGCTGATTCATGAACAAGATTCTACGTCGTGATGTGAGAGCTGGAAGTTGAGACCTGGAGCGGAGAAGTGGTCAGTCAACCATCTGACCTCATCGGTTATTTTAATTGTTGTGCATTCTTGTCTTTTCTTTCGGTGTGGGGCTCAGATCTCTATCTCGGATTAATGCCTGCATTGATCTGACGGTGATGATAGCCCAAAAAAATTTACTTGTAAAGAAAATATAAAATAATAAGTATTGTTGTGGATGCTACCATCTTTTTACTTCTCAAAAGTAACAGTAAGCAGAGAGTGTGTGTCGAGAGGAATACGCAACGTTTGGAAGACAAAATGTGTTTAGTTTACCACCAAAAAAAAAAAACAACCTCATACAGGAAACAATTACAACCAAAAAAAACCCAACCCAACAAGATCGTAAATTAGACTTTCATACTCTACGCAAGTGATCTTATAGTTATAGGCACGAGGGCTATGGAAAAGGAGGAAGGGAAAGGGCAACTGGTGCCAGAGGTTTTGTTTTGTTTTTAGTTTTTGATTTTTAAAATTTTTCTTGGACGGGAGTGTTTATAATTTTATTTTTTTTCTCGGTGATTGGTTTTGTTAACGACTTTCTTGATGTAAACATGCCATAACAAAATAAAAATAAAAACAAAAGACACTAAAGAGTTGGGTCTACAATACATTAAAAGACTACCCGAAACCATGTAATGGCTTTTAGGCAGTATGTGTTGAAGAGAACAGAGCAGGGAACGCAATTCCTTGAGTACCTTTTTTTATTTTTTACAAAATACATGTATGTGTGAAACATGTACCATGATAGAGTCAAGACGTGGCCACCTCGGTGAGCGGCCGAGCAGACAGACAGACAGCGACCCATCGCTCAAACCAGCAGCCCGTCTAGATCTAGTGGGGCGGCTGACAAATCTGCTGACATTACCGGGGGTGACCGCGCGCCTCCACGGGCCGACTCTGTCACCTGGCCACACACTCCATGGCAAAGTCCTCACAGCTTACGAGGACACGATTGTCTACTTCTTTGACCGCTAGGCCTCGATCTTTTTTAAATCTTAAAACTATTTTTCTTTGAGTGTGTGTGTGTGTGTGTGTCTGGTTTTGTTGTTGTTGTTGTTGTTGTTGTTGGTTGGTT